CCAGAGGTGAGAGGGGAAGGCAGAGAGAGTTAGGAGCTGGTTGAATGTTCATGGGGAATCAGGGGCGGAGGGGAGGAGTGTGCTGTCGCAGAATGGGGTGAGCGGTTGGGGTCTCATAACAGTGTATGTTTAAAAAAAATTCTGTATGGGAGACTAACTTGAAATGTAAACTTCATTCAATTACATCAATTAAAAAAAGTAAATAAAAAAAAAGTCAAGGCTCACATCCATTTTATGACATGTTACTCCAGTGGTTCTGCTCTGAAATTTCTCAGAATGGCTTTGATGAGTGTTGGATCAAAGTCTCTAGTTATTACATCAGCACAACTGTTTTCATTTGGTCTCGGCAGTAGTCTAAGAGAATATTGGAAAGTAAGATGAACAGAGCATTAGTCAACAATGATTCCCTTTCTGCCTTTGTTTGGGGTTTATTTTGTCTTGGGAAAGCATATGATTGTCCCATACGGGTGTCACTCCAATCAAAATCACGAAGTCTTACATGTTCTGCTTCCAAAGTCAGGTTTCCAAGTCTGGACATAGTTGGGTCGAGGCTGCCTGGGTGGGTTGGCCATGGAGATGCTCCTTCCATCTGCTTGGATGCTCTCTGCAGTTGACTAAGTACTTCCACTGTCACCATCTCACTTGATGTGGCCACATCACATACTTCAGAAGGGCCAGTGTCCTCCTCGAAGACTTACAGGGGTCACACACAGACCAACGGGCACCAGAATGGTGCTTGGCCCACTTCGGAGTGCTTTGTTTCCTCTCTGAATGTGCTCACTCTGGTGTGGACAACAGTTGTCTTTATTCCTCGAGGTCTGAGCTGTCTGTCTAGGTGGCATGCCAGCATGGATGCAGCACTGAACTAAGATCAGGAAACCAGGTCTCCTGCTGCATGTTACTGCTTATTAGCTGTGTGGCCTTGGGCAACCACCTTCCCCTCTCTGCTCCCATTTTCTCACCTTCAGATGAACACAGTTGCACCTGGGCTGTGTGCAACAGAGCTTTGCTACCAGCAGTGTGAACAGTATTGTCCTTGAAGGGTTATCTCTACCTCTCATTAGGTACTTCTTTTCCACGTGTATTTGAGTTACTTGTGATTTTGTCCTAGTTCCCCATGAGGAGTAGGATCCACAAAGGTAAGAAACATGTATAATGGTCTCTGGGTTTTCCCTGGTTGCAGGCAAATCGATCAACCAGCAAATAAATTCTGATTGTTCACTGTGTATGTGTTTAAATGGAATGAGCTGCCTACCTCTAAAAAAGAGATATTTTTCCTGAAGATCTGTCTTCTTTTGGAAAAGAAATAAGAAAGGAAGAGATGGCAACAATGGGCCCACATTCCTGCAGCAGCAATCAGCTACCACAGGTGAGGGCTGCCCTCTTTAATGGGGAATGCACTCTCCATTATGCCACTGTCCTGCCACCACCTGCTTCCTTATACCAGGACTACTTCTTTCCTTTACCTTTACTGCATGGCCCCTGAGGGTGTATGGGTTTGAAATCTTTGCCATACATGTTGTTACGTACTGTTAGTTACTGTTCAGCAGGCTCCAATTCTTGGGGATCTTATTTATAGCAGAACAAAAAACTACCTGGTCCTGAGCCATCTTCATGATCCTTGGTGTGTTTAAGGCTATTGTGTAGTGCCTTCCAACCTACGGGACTCACCTGTTAGCACTGTATCGGACAATATTCTACTGTGATCCATAGGGTTTTCGTTGACTAACTTTTGGGAAGTAGATTGCCAGGCTTTTCTCTCCTAGTCTGTCTTAGTCTGGAAGCTCTGCTGATACCTGTCCACTATGGGTGACCCTGCTGGTATTTGAAATATTTGTGTCATAGTTTTAGCACCATCATAACACACAAGCCACCACAGTATGACACATTGACAGACAGGTGGTTGGTTGCTGTACATAAACCAACTGCTGTCGAGTCAATTCTGACTCATGGAGACCCCATGCGTTGCAGAGAAGAACTGCACTCTATAGGATTTTCAAGGCTATGAACTTTCAGAAGCTGATCACCTGGCCTTTCTTCTGAGGTCCCTCTGGGTGAGTTCAAACTGGCAATCTTTTGGTTAGTAGTTGAGCACTTAACCATTTGTGCCACCCAGGGACAGCATTTTGTACACACAGAAAAACTCAAACCAAACTCTTTGCTGTTGAGTTGATTCCCACTCATGGTGATCCCATGTGTTACCGAGTAGAACTGCTCCATAGGGTTTTCTGAGTGGCACAATAGTTAAGCACTGGACTACTAACAAAAAAGTTCGTGGTTCAAACCCACCCAGAGGCATCACTGAAGTAAGGCCTGGTGATCTGCTTCTGAAGGGTCACAGCCTTGAAAACCTTATGGAGCAGTTCTAACCTGTATGCATGGTCACCATGAGTTAGAATCGACTTGATGGCAACTAACAATAACATCAATGACAATCTCTTCAGAAGCAGATCACCAGGCCTTTCTTCCGTGGCATAGTAGGTGCTTAATGAATGCTCAGCAAATCAATGTATATATGAATTAGTGACTGAATGCAAGAATAAAGCTAGTCAGTTGGTTACTGGTGGACGAAGGAGTGCTTGAGTAAAGAGCCTGAGTTGGCTAGTCCATTTGGAATTCAGTACAGATGACACCAGACTCAGAGCTTAATATCTGAGAGGACCAGTACACAAGTTGAAAAGCATATGTCTACAGGGTCACTATGAGTTGGAATTGACTTGATGGCAACAGGTTTTTTTTTTTTTTTTTTTTTTTTTTTAATGGCACCCTCAGAATCTCTGAATTGATGCTCTTGATCTCTAATGAAAACAAACCAAACTCATTGCTGTCAAGTCGATTCTGACTCATAGCTACCATGTAGGACAGAGTAGAACTGCCCCATAAGGTTTCTAAGGAGGGGCTGGTGGATTCAAACTGCCCACCTTTTGGTTAGCAGCTGAGCTCTTAACCTCTGTGCCAACAGGGCCCCTGACCTCTAATAGGGGAGTGAAAATCACCCAAGACAAGTTTTCCTACCTCTGGAGCAACAAAACAAATGATTGAGTTATGTCATTATTGTCCCTCATTCAACAAAACTTCAGTGAGTACTGGCCACACACTTGCCATCATGTTAGAAACTGGGGTACAGAAGAGCAGAGCTATGGCCCCCACCCTCAGGAAGCTCATGAGTTGGTGGGAAAGTTGACAAAAATAATTACTATAAACAATGAAAATGATAGGACCCACAGCTGATCTCTTCCTTTACTCTTTTCTCTCTTCCCCTTTTACTCTTCTCTATTCTTAACTCCCAGGAGGCTGATCTGTATGGATTATATCAAAGGGTTCTGAGCTATCTGTCTTCAAGTTGGGTTCTGAGCTATCTGTCTTCAAGTTGGGTTCTGACAAATGGGAACCCAACCAACCAACCAGAATCTCTGGCAGGAGATCTGAGGGAGGGATGAGAGTGAGGTCAGAGTACTTATTCTGCTGGATGCTTCCTTCTGTGTCACCTTGGGCTGGCTGTATCCCTTGACTGAAGGTCTCTGTTATTCTCAAGGCAATACAGGATTCTCTCCTTCCAGGACAAGGGAATCTCTCCTTTTCCTCATCCGTTTAGGTCCAGCCACTGGTTCTTCCACTATCCCAGGAGGTTCCTCTATAGCCATCTATCTCTTTGTAATTTACCCCTTGGCACTAAACCCTCCTTGAATTATCCTCATTTAAGTGTGATGTCTGTTTTCTGCTGGGACCCTGACTGAGAATACCACAAGGGAGATAGAGGTAAAATGCCTGTGGAACATCCAAGGATGGAAAGGGGATGGAACGAGGGGGCATTTCAAGGAGCAGTTGGCGTTTGAACTGCCTATTGAAGGTTGATAAGGATTTATAAGTGGGGAGGGGTGGGGGGAAAGGGTATTTCATATGGAGAGTTAAGTATGGTGCCAAGGGGCAAGGCCAGGATGGGGAAAGTGAATGTGTGGGTCAATTCCTAAAATAAAAAGGATACACAGGAGAGATAGGGACTAAGACTGGAAAGTCACGCTGTACTTCTTCTTGGAAAACTTTATCTCCACGTTAAGGAGTTTCACATTGTTCAGTATGGGTTGGGGAGTCAATGGAAGGTGTTTGGATAGGAGATGAAAAAACTGGAGCTCACATTTTGGTAGGTTAGACAAGAAACAAAAATCTTTAAATGCATGTTTAGCATAAGGTTTCACACTGAAATATCCCACCCTGCAAATGTAAATAGAGGGGAAAATTTGCATTCATGCTGGAAACCAGAGCAAGCAGCCACCTATATCTCAACATTCTGAGTAGTTTCTATGAAGTATAGCACAAAAAGCACCAGACAAAGTGAAGGGCCTATCTACATCTGGTTGCATGTGAAGGAACAACTTACCCGGGAAGTAAGTGGAAAGTTTAGTAGAACCCACTGAGATGTAGGGGAGGTGTGAGGTGGGGCTGTCAGATGGGAAGTGTGGGGCCAATCTGGGCTACCAGTGGTGTGCAGAGGGAGGAGGGAGGAGCCTGGGATTGGATGCCAGTCCCACCACTTATTTTCCATGTGGTTGGGCAAGTAACTTACCTTCTTGGGGCCTCAGTTTTGTCATATATAAAATACAGTTAATCATAATCCTAACCTAATAGGTTTGTTGTGAATATTAATTCAGGTGATCTTTGTTGAGTACTTAGAACAGAGCCTGGTCCAGGGGACGAACTCAGCGAATGCTGGTTGGGTAGATAATACTCATGCTCCTGGGTAGTGTGCTAAGCTCCAAAGGCTGCGTCAACTGGGACTCCCATCCTAGCATTTATTCCTGAACCTATGAGTTAGAAGATAATTTCTTATAACGCCAATGAAAGGAATAAAATGGTGAAAATGATTGAAAGGACAGTAAGAAAACAAGTTCAGAAGATAAGTCCAGAAAATGAAAATGACATATCATGAAATTTTGGAAGGAAAGAGAAGAGCAGAAGAAAAAGAAAATGGAAGAAAAAGTCAATGAGCTCAGTAAAAACTTTAGCTTTTAGATTAAGGCGTTCACTGGGTACCATGGAGTTAGAGCCTCACGGCGATTTAGAATTTCAAGGGTCTACAGAGGATCTTAGGAAGCAGGGAGGGATATCAAGTTGCTATCTGAATTTTCCTCTGCAATATTAAATGACAAGAGGCTAGACAGCAATGTTCACAGAGATTTGAGAAGGAAGACTGGGCCTCAGTAATAATACAGGAGGAGACAAACAGTCAAATCCAGAAGACGGAGCATTTGTCCCCGTCCCTTCGACAAGTACTGTCATGAAAAGGGGCCTGGTTTAGATGGTTGTTGTTAGGTGCTGCCTAGTTGGCTCCCAACTCATGGCAATCTCATGCACAACGGAACTAAACGCTCCCTGGCCCTTTACCATCCCCATGATCGGTCGTGGATTGGACCGTTGTGATCTATGAAGTTTTCATTGGCTGATTTTCAGAAGTGGATCGCAAGCCTTTCTTCCTAATTTGCCTTAGTGTGGAAACTCCTCTGAAACCTGTTCAGCATCATAGCAACACACAGGCTTCCACTGATAGATGGGTAGTGACTGCGTATGAGGTGCACTGGCTGGAAATTGAACCCAGGTCTCCCATATGGAAGGCAAGAATTCTACCCCTGAGCCACCACTGCCCTTGCCCCATTCTAGATTAGAAGCAATTTAGGGACTAGAGCCACTTGGTTTGGGCCAACCATTTGCATAGAATAATTGGGGAAATTTGAGTACAGTCCGAGCGTTAGTTAATATTATAACATGATGTTATGGAAAGGTGGAAATTGGTTTATCGAATTAGATTTATTATTTTTGCAGGCTGCAAAACAATGTCTACAGTATGCTCTTACTTTGATAAACATGCATATATATGTGTACAGAAAAAAATCTGGACAAGTACATTCTAGGTTGTTAACAGTGGTAATCTCCGGGTGGTGATTTTCTTTTCTTTTACTTATCTGTATTTTCTACAGTGTACATATACTGCCTTTGAAATAACAAAAGGTAATTTTTTAATTGAAAGAACAATTCTACATTCTCTCAAACTCTCATTCCTGAGATAACGTTGCACATTTTGAAATATTCAAGTACTTAGAAAATTTGCCACCCATGTGCCCTTCATTAAAAAAATACTCAGAGAATTGCTCCAGCTGAATGAAGGGCGTATAAATAATAAAGAAGTCAGGAACTGAGAAGACGTAGTGTAAATGAAATGGCACAAAGCACTAAGAGGGAAACATAATATTTATTCAGAATAATCATTTTAAAAATGGCTATGGAGTTTATGGCAAAGGGGAAAATAAGTTCTTTAATGGAAATATTTAAATTCTGTATTATATCAACTAAAATTGATACAAAGAGGAAAACATG